CAAAACTCCACAACAATTCCCAGAACACTAGGAAAGGCACAGCTCTGGGTCCACAACATATTGCTATTAGACAAAGCAGCATGGTTTATCTCCTCCGCACCTCCGCTAGAGCTAACCTGGAAAAAGGGAAAGCAAGTCCAGCTGCCCCTCTTGGACAGGCACAGCCTCTGCATCTCACCAGGCTGCCACTTACACTTACAAAGTTGTCCCTGAATCAAGGAGTGCAAGAGCAAACAGCGGACAAATTGAAAAGACGTGGGAGGAAGATAGGGCCCAGGGGAAGACCTGGCTTTACTATTTGAGTTGAAAGTGTGAAGCCACTTTGGGCAATGTGAGCAGGGAGTGGATTTCCAAAGTACCTAAATGATACATTGGAAGGAATTTTATTAAAAAAGAATAGTAGGAAAAAGAAAAACATGACTCCTCGGTGCCACCTGACAAACTACCCATAGTGCTACAAAAATCCCAGAAGGCCAAATGTGCAGAAATCAAAAGCAAATGCCTCTAACACAGTTATCGCGATGGAAAGCCCTTGACGAGACCTCAGGGTAGAAATCCAGGCAAAGCACATTGCCTGCATTGCCTCTGGGGTGAATGACAGGGGACACAGTGTGGCAGACAGGAATCATCTGCAGTCCTGGAGAAGGTCTCAAGGCATTTCTCCTCCGCAGCCTTGCCCAGACACACCTGCCCAAGGCAGTCACACCCCAGGGACCCGTGAGTTTGTTCACCACAGCAGGTGTCGGTGCTGGTTGGGGATTCCTTCTGCCTGGGTCACTTTCCACCCTGCCCTGCCCAACAGAGGTGGAGAGGGAAGGGGAAGGAGAAGGGAAGGGAAGGAGGCCTTGGAAGATGAAGGCGGCGGCTTGGGAAAATGTGGGCTTAAGTTGGAAGGAAGAGCTGAGAGAGCTGTGCCTGTTCAGCCCAGAGAAGAGAAGGCTCAGGGGTGTTGCCCAGAGAGCTTGTGGAGTCTGCACCCATGGAGCTACTCAAAAGCCAATGGGACCCATGTCTGGGCAGACCCTGACACGTGGAAAGAGGTCCTCTCCCCAAGCATGGAAAGGGGGATTTGGGTTGGAGGGGAGAGGCAAGGGGTGAAGGGAGAGCTGTCGCAGGGCAGGGAGGAGGATACACAGAGGAGAGGAGAGGAGGGTGCTCAGCCTCGCAGCGGCTCCCTCCATGCCAAGCGCTGGCAAAGGCTCTGCCATGGAAAACAGGAGCGGAGCTGCAGAGCAGAGCTGCTCCCTGAGATCACCCCCAGGGGGCGGAGCCAGCGGGGATGATGTCAGAAGCAGAGAGGTGATGTCACAGAGGAAGTCCCCACCAGCCAAGAGCAGCCCTGGCTCCCACTCGCTGCCCAGGAGAGCAAAGGGCCAGAGCCTGCGCAGGAGAGGGGCTGAGCCGGAGCCCTTCTTCGGAGGGGCTCGGCCAAAGCAAGACCCGTCCGAGCCAGAGCACGCGGGGACCACCCACCAGGACAAGGCTTGGCCAGGGGCGGGCAACCCGGGCCCCGAGGCAGGAACCACTAGCGAGGGCCAGCAAGGAGACCAAGGAGAGGCGGGCACGGGGAGGCGCAGCGTGGACAGAGCGGTGGGAGCAAGCCGCGAGCAGCATGTTCGGAGCAGAGGAGGTTTGCACGGCGCCTCAGCAGGAGAGGGAGTTGGAAGCGACATGTGCTGGGGGCCCCTCGGAAGGCAGCGAAGCGCAGGCCAGAAAGAGCCGCTCCTCCCGGTCCTCGCGGGCCGGGCTGCTCTTCCCTGTGAGCCGCATAGACCGGCAGCTGCGCAGAGGCCGCTTTGCTGAGCGCTTTGGAGCCAGGGCCCCCGTCTATCTGGCTGCGGTGCTGCAGAGGGTGACGCACGAGACCATGGACGTGGCTGGCACGATCTGCAAGAACAGCAAGCAGAAGCGCATTTCTCCATCGCACTTGCAGGCGGCGCTGCAAAAGTGCTCCGTGCTCAAGCGGTCCCTGCGAGGAGCTGCAGGGCACAGGCGCCGCAGAAGGGCCGGTCCCCGAAGCCAGCACGTGGCCTCAGACTCCAAAAAGAAGATGGCCAGGAGTAAGAAGAGGTGCCCCAGGCAAAGGCCTGTGCCTGCCCGTGCCACTGCTGCTGTCAAGTGAGAAGAAAGCAGGCACTCTTGCCCCACACTGGCAAGGCAAGGGCTGCTACACCTGCAGGGCTCTTGCCAAATCCAGCGCCATGCTCTAAGGGTACAATAAAAGCTTTTGCAATGCCGTGTGGGACGTGGGGCCTCTTGTGCTGTGTGTTGGACTAGCGTCTCCTGGCTGGCCAAAGGGTCTCCTGGCTGGCCAAAGGCAGCAGCTGGACGCAGGCAGCAAGCTCTGCAAAGGGAGGCTGCAGCACAGCCCTTGCTGAGAAGGAGGGCAGCAAGCTGCCTGGAGGCCAACTGGCCCTGATGGGCAGCACCAGCCTCCAGCTCAGGTTTGCACTTGGTCTCAAAGCAGCTGCGTGGAGGAGGGATCTGCCCCCAAAATCATGGGTGCCTGCTCTGAGGCATGGTGCCGATGACTGTTTCTGGAAGAGCAAGGGGACCTTCGTGTCTTTCTTGCGCCATCCCAAGAGGAAATATGGGAGAGGCAGTACGTGTCCTGCAGTACTGCTGCATTTGCCCTTCCTTGGTGGGGAGGGCAGGAATTTCAATCTTGCTCTCCTAACTCATTGCAGAAGTGGTGTCCAGTGGAGACAAGGGGAGAGCTACACCCATCTCCCATTCTCTTTATGCCTCGGAGGCAATATGTAGTGCATAAACACATCTCTAAGACACGTGGGGAAATGATCTGAGCGGCAGCACAATCTTCTTGTTGATGATGTAAATGATACTGATACAAATACTGATCCTACAGGCAATTTATAGAGAAATCCCAGGTATTCCTGACTAATAGTCAGTGCTCCAAGTGCTACAAAGTCACCTGCTGCAATGCCAGGAAATTTAAAATATTTTCAGTATATTAGGGCAATCAAAGTTTAAAAAAGGACGGCCCACCCCTGGAAACGATAACCAGCATTTGTGTTCTCTGCTTTCCTGGTGTTGAGGTGTGTGGCACAAGATAACTTGGTGTGAGAAAGAGATACAGGGG